TCCTACTAGAATAAAACTTCAGAAAAATCAACAATTACCACCTCAAAAAGTCCTGAACCTCAACAACAAATAACACCTAAACCCACTAGTTATGGCTCTAAAACTCCTTCATCTTTAACAACACAACCCAAATTACAAACAAAATCTAATAGTATGTTTTCAAAAAAATCAACTAAACCAACAACTACTTCTAGCATAACAAACTCAGTTAAACCAACAACAACTCCAACGAACAAATTTTCTAGCTCATCAACACCTACTGTTAGTACACCTTCTAGTAATAATGAATCATCAACTCAAAAATCACAAAATTCATCATTTACTCCTCGGGCTTTTGGTTCAAAAATTGATACATCTGCAAAATCAGGATCAATTAACAATCCAACTCACTTTGTTTCTAATCCTCAACCACAACCTGTTACAAAGAAATCATTCACAACACCATCTTCCTCTACTCTTAAACAAACAACACAACCAAATAGTTCTTCAGTGAACTCATTTAATAAGCCAAGTGTAGTTAAGCAAACTACTACTTCTTCAGTTAATACTAGTAAACCACTAACACCTAAATCACCTACATCATCTTTGAATGAAAATAAATTATCAACAAGTTCTCACATCAACTCTACTATACCATCTCCAATTAAACAAACACAATCAAAAATATCACAACCTCTTCAAATGAGAAAACAATCACTATCATCTTCTCAACAATTAAATGCAGAACAAGTGAAACAACCATTATTTAAAACAACAACCAATACTCAAAAACAACAACCAAGTATTCCTAAACAAGACTCCTTCTCTCCACAACGAGTTGTTAAATCACCAGAACCAGCTTTAAAAGACACACCACAAAATGTTTCTAAATCCACTGAACCTGCTAAAACAACTACTACTGTTAAAGGAATACAAAAACATAGTACTAACCCTGTTAAAGAAGTAGAGTCATCAACTGTACAAGAGTCTATTAAATCACCAAAAGTTCAACAACCCAATATTGAAAAACCTATCACATCTAAGTACCAATCTACTGCTAGCCAACCCAAATTATTGGTAAATCTTAAGTCATCATCTACAAGCTCATCTCCATCAAATACAAATACTTGTGATAAAGAAAAAGTTGATTTATCTAAAATGTCATTTGTCCAAAGACAACGATATTTGAGAGAACAACAAGACTTAGAAGCACAAAAAACTTCTGTAACACGTAGTGTTGCTAAGCCAACTCCCTCATTCAAAAAATCTCCAACACAAAGCAATATTGTTGAAGAAAAACAAAAAGAAGATATGAAACAAGAAACTAATCAACAAACTGAAGAAGTTGATTTGTCTAAAATGTCATTTGTCCAAAGACAACGCTGGGAAAGAGAACAACAAGATAAGAGAGCAGAACAAACAACTGCAAAATCACATGGGTATGAAGCAAAGTTTGCTAAACAAACATCAACTCCTAAAGATATTGTTTACCAAGATACTCATGAAGATGTAAATGGTAATAGCAAAGAACTACAACAGGGTAATGAAGAAGATCAATGTATCAAACCTTCCAGTATGGGACTTAAATCAAGTGCAGCTCAAATTGTAGCCCAAAGAAAGAAATTACCAAAGAGTGGAAAGAACAATACTTTAACTGGATCAGCGTCGCTTAATGCTTACATCCAAAGACAAGAACAATACAAACAAGATGAAATTGAAAGAGAAAAAATACGTATGGAAATGCAAAGAAAACGTGAAGAAATTCAAAGAAAACAAGACGAAATTAGAAAGATGAGAGAAGAAACTGAAAAACAACACAAGAAAGGAGAAGAAAGATTAAAACAAGAAGAAGAACGACTTAAGAAAGAAGAAGAAGAAAGAAAGAAAAAGGAAGAAGAACGTTTACGACAAGAAGAAGAAGAGAATAAAAGAATTAAAGAAGAAAGACAACGTAAAGAAGAGGAATTAAGAAAAAAGAAAGCTGAAGAAGAAAGAAAGAGAAAATTAGAAGAAGAAGCACGTAAACGAAAAGAAGAAGAAGAACAAAGGAAAGAAGAAGAGGAAAAGAGAAAGGTAGAAGAGGAATTAAAGAAGAAGGAAGAGGAAGAAAGAAAAAGAAAAGAGGCTATTGAATTGAAAAAGAGACAACTTGAAGAAGAACGTAAAAAGAAGGAAGAAGAAAGAAAGAAAAGGGAAGAAGAAGAACGTAAAAAAGAAGAAGAGGAAGAGCGGCTCAAACAAATTGAACAAGAAAAACAAAGAAAACTTAAAGAAGAACAAAAGAGAAAAGAAGAAGAGATTAAACGTAAAAAGGAAGAAGAAGAGCGTAAGAGAAAAGAAGAAGAAAAACGCAAACGTGAAGAGGCAGAAAGAAAAAGAAAGGAAGAAGAAGAGCGTAAAAGAAAAGAAGAAGAGGCTAAAAGAAAAATTAAAGAGGAAAGACAAAGAAAAATTGAAGAAGAAAGAAGAAAAAAAGAAGAAGAAGAACAAAGAAAGCTTGAAGAAGAAAAAAAACTATTAGAAGAAGAACAAAAAAGATTAGAAGAAGAAGAAAGAAAGGCAGAAGAAGAAAGAAAACGTCTTGAAGCTGAAAGAAAAAGAAAGGAAGAAGAAGAGCGTAAGAGAAAAGAAGAGGAAGAAAGAAAAAGAAAAGAAGAAGAGCGTAAAAGAAAGGAAGAAGAAGAAAGAAAGAGGAAAGAAGAAGAAGAAAAGAGAAAGAAAGAACTAGAGGAATTAAAAAAGTTAAAAGAAGAAGAGCGTAAAAAGAAAGAAGAAGAGTAAAGAGAAGCAGAAGAGAGAACGTAAGCTG